ACTCACAGTCTCCTGGTGATTGGCCCCAAGTCACTCAGCTGATTTTCATGTCTAAAGCAGGACTAGAACTCATAGTCTCTTCGTGATTTGTCCAAAGTCACCCCAGCACCTTTCATGGCTAAACTGGGACTAGAACTCATAACTCATAGTCTCCTGGTGATTGGCCCAAGGTCACCCAGCCCATTTTCATGTCTAAGAGAGGACTAGAACTCACAGTCTCCTGGTGATTGGCCCAAATTCACCTAGCTACCTTTCATAGCTAAAGTGCGACTAGAACTCACAGTCTCCTGGTGATGGGCCCAAACTCACTCAGCCATCTTTCATGACTAAAGTAGGGCTAGAACTCACATTCTCCCAGTTTCTAGCCTGGTGCCTTAACCACTACACACCTTGGTGATACATCTGTGTTTTAACTGAGTAAGCTCATCGTAAGTCTCACAGTCTTGTACTGGCTCTCCTCTGCTCTATTACCAGCATGCAAACGGAAGCCAACTGGGACATGCTCTTCTCCTGAAATCAAGCCAACTTACCTTCCCACGGAGAGCACGGTAACTTGTCCATGACGGGATTTTTTGGCTTCTTTGCCTCTTTTATTTGGACTGAAGAGATTCCACCGTTTCTGGCTGCAACGAGAACAAGCGCCTGTCTCAGCCACGCCGCCAATGGTGTGCAAGTGGTGTCCTCGGCAAGTGTGTTTTGACAAAGGGCCTCCAGGAGACAACGGAGAACCTGGACTCGTTGGGCTGCCTGGAGTCGTTGGGCTAAGTTTTGGAGCAGAAATACAGCAAAAAAAATTTGACATTTAGGGTCCGCAGTTGATGAAGTAACTCCCTTTTTTTTTTCCTGAGCTCATACCCTACATGATTTCCAAACACACATTTTTTTTCTAAATGACCTTGTTCCACAAAGTTTTTGTTAATCTGGAATGCTTTCATCCCAAAGTGAAACCAACACTCAATGTGCAAGCATTACTTTTGAAATTAAATTGCTCTGAACTTTCTGATTCTATTCTTCTCTTCCTCCATCCCCATCCTTATCTATCTCCTAGTTGTCTTCTTTCGTCCTCCTTATCTATCTCCTTCTAGTTCTCTTCCTTCGTCCTCCTTATCTAACTCCTTCTAGTTCTCTTTCTTCATCCTCCTTATCTATTTCCTTCTAGTTCTAATATTTTCCTGATCACGCTCTCATCAGTAGGAATCTCTTCACTTTTCCAATTTTGTGCAAATACAATTGTCAGGATTCCAAATGATGAAATCCATTTCAAAAGAAAAGAGCAAAGTCCAACTTCCAAAACAATTTCTTTTATTTAGGAAAGCATCAAATTGGCAAAGTCTGTTGCAATTCCGGATCTGACACAATCCAGAATTACACCACGTAATATTGAAAATTAGAAACAACTCCCAAAAGTCACATTCCCCAATAGAAATAAAATCAATGTTGCCTGATGTCGTCAATCTCCACCTCCAGGTCTCAGTAGGGTCAGCTTTCATTCCCACGGGAAGAAGAACTCCCTAGCCTAAACAACTCTATCTCCACTCCTCCCACTTTAGGAATGTGGCAAGCCTGAAACCCTTCCCCCCCATAACCAGGAAAGAGAAAGAAAGAAAAGGAATATAAAATAAGATTAAATAAAATGGCTACACATATGTCAATTTTGGGCTTGACAACAATTCTAGCTGCAGTCAATACGTGAATAATTAAGCATACCTTTTCTTTACTAAATGTTTCAGGTATAATCCACAACAGAAATATTCAGGTTTTAAATCAATATGCTGCTGTATTATCTTTTCCAACCAGGTGTGTATTTTTGTCCAATATCTTTTGGCTAAATTTACATTTGAAGCTCCTTTACAAGAACCGGCTACAGTTACACTGATGGAATCATACCTTCAAGAACCACATATTCTTATTTTCTTGAATTATACCACGTGCAAAACCTTATTGCTATTTTCAGCTTCATGAAGCCAGCTGTGAGATCAGCCAATGTTTTAAAACACACCCATGAAACATTTTTTTTTTAAAGAAGGCTGGGCTATATCCAGAATACTGGCAGACTTGAAATCAAATGTTCTACAGTGAAAAATCGAACTAGCAGAAAGATTCAAGGAGTTATTCCCTCCCCTTTATTTGAGGCTGTTTAAGGAAGAGAGAAAAAGCATTTGGAATGAGATGGTTTACCTTTCTGGATCGCAGACCGAATTATCAGCCACCATGGCCTTCAGCACATCTGCGTTGGCTGCAAAAGTTAGAAATCATATTTAATATCTTTGTTCTGAATTCTCGACTGTGCAGTTGAGCAGTGAATGAAAAGCCTGCAACCCGTGAGGTAAATTGAATCATTTACTTATGAGACAGAACTGGTAGAACATAAGTTTTTCAGACCAATGCTTTGCACATTTACTCAGGAGAGAGCTGAGAGGCACAAGATACCTGGCAAATATCATGTTTCCCCCAAAATAAGACCCTGTCTTATATTTTTTGGCACCAAAAAAAGGCACCAGGTCTTATTTTGGGGGGATGTCATCCACTGACTAACCTCACTTCCGTGTGTTGCCCCCAGCCTCCTTTTCACTGTCAGAGGCCTTCAGGAACTTCTTCTGTGGTTGGCAAGGTTTTCCTGAAGGCCTCTGCAGCCAATAACTGAGCTCTGGATCGATCCAGAACTTTGTTATGAGCTACAGAGCCCTTCACGAAAGCCTTGCCAGCTGCAGAAGAAATGGGCCGGCAAAGCAGGTGTCAGGGTGTGCAAGGCCTGGCTACAACTGTCCTATCGTAAGTAGTAGGGCAGCTCCACCACCATCCCATCCCCACCCTGGCTTAATTTTTACCCGTCCACTGTGGAGTGAGTAGGATCGTAATTAGGGCTTATTTGGGGTGTAGGGCTTATATTGGGCACATGTGTAAAAATCAAGTTAGGACTTACTTTCAGGGTAGGTCATATTTTCAGGGAAACGGTAAGATTTAATAAATTATATTTTAATAACAGAAGTTTTAAAGGTGTGCTCTCTTTAGGAGGTTTGAATAACTGGAAAAATTATGCATTGCTTAAAATCTTCTTCTGGGAATGGACGTGTTCTGAAAGTGACACATTTGAACATGTTCCTCATCGAGGGTCACTTCCCAGGAAGAATAAATATAATAAGAAACTGTGCTCTTTCCAAGGTAGCTTGATTTTTAAGGTTAGATGACATCCCTTCGTGGAATTTTCTATTCTGAAAATGATACAGTCCTGGCAGGACTATATCAGGAGCCTTTTGAATCACTGCAGTATCTCAGCCCGAATGGCTGAATGGACATAGAGTAAGACTTACTTTTGGGTTGAAAATTGGGTCTAAACCGAAAGCAGGCAGGTTTCTCTACGTGATAAATCAATTCAATTGTGCAAGGTGCTTGGTGCTTTCTTGAGGTTGGTTTTCTTGCAGACGTTTCATGACCCAACTAAAGGGAGGAGGAGGAGGAGGAGGAGGAGGAGGAGGAGGAGGAGGAGGAGGAGGAGGAGGAGGAGGAGGAGGACTGTAAAGGATTGGTGCTCTATGAACTTGGTGGTTTTCTTGCAGACGTTTCATGACCCAAATAGTTATCATCATCAGTGTGAGAAGATTGTGGGATTTGGTCTTTGCTTACATACAAGTGGTTTGCTCGCAGAAAGCACTGATGATGTTACCTAGCTGGGTCATGAAATGATTGCAAGAAATACCAAGTTTAGAGAGTACCAAGAACTCCCCAGTTCAATGCTGAGATACAAATTTTCTCTGTTACTCTATGTTCTACGTTCTTCTATTGAATTCAAGATGCCAGGGAGACATCAAATTAAGTGACTTTTTTTTTTTGAGTTTCAGAGGGTTGAGAGAAAAGTCACTGAAGACCAGCGATGTTGTATTTGCATCCAGAAAATGCTGAAATGATTTCCAAGGTGTGTGTGTGTGTGTGTGTGTGTGTGTGTGTGTGTGTGTGTGATGGTTTTGTGTAGGTTTCATCTGACACTTTGTTCCAACAAATTCCAAATTCTGACAAATATCTTCCAATCTTTCCCTCGTGCATGAGGGGATGCTGTGTTGGGGACAGGACAAACGTGTTCACCATTAAGGTTTGACACTTGGAAAAGTACTTTTGCTTACAAGCAGTGTGCACACGTACAGAAGCAAATGTTTAAAAAATGCATGTGTGACTTCACCTCGAAAACTGAATAATGAAGTCATAAGTCACGAATGAAAATGCAGGGTTTCATCACTTTACAGTCCTTTCCAAAGACACCAAAAGAGCTCAAATACATCCGCACAGTCGTTTCTAAAAACTTAAGAGGTCCCTTACCTTCGTTTTTCATGATATAATCAACTATCCGCCCCACCGTGTCGCTGTTTTCATTGACGCTGTCATTCAATTCTAAAAGTAAAACCGAAAAAACACACACAAAAAGTAACTTTAGTTCTTTGGTTCCTGGAAACAACGCTAAACTACGTTTTCCCAAAACAGCACATATGAAGCAGAGATTAAAACCACTATCTCTGAAAAAGAGCTTGAAGGGGGGAGATTGTTATCGAAAGTTGGTATGGCTGAAAAAACAAAACTAAAAGAATAAAGGAAGAAGGGTCATTTCTTCTTATTTGTCTTATTTGGCAACCCCAAGATGAATAAGATGTTGAGAGTCTGGAAAGAGTGCAGAAAAGAGCAACAAAGAGGATTAGGGGCCTGAAGGCTAAAACATATAAAGAACAGTTGCTGGAATTGGGTATGTCTAGTTTAATGAAAAGAAGGACTAGGGGAGACATGGTAGCAGTGTTTCAAAGTCACAGGGGTTGCCCCAAAGAAGAGGGAGTCAAGCTATTCTCCAAAGCACCTGAGGGCAGGACAAGAAGCAACAGATGGAAACTCATCAAGGAGAGAAGCAACTTGGAACTAAGGAGAAATTTCCTGATAGTGAGAACAGTGAATCAGTAAACAACTTGCCTCCAGAAGTTGTGAATGCTCCAACCCTGGAAGTTTTAAAGAAGAGATTGAATAACCATTCTGAAATGGTAAAGGATCTCCTGCTTGGGGAGGCGGGGTTGGACTAGAAAGAAAGAAAGAGGAGGGTGGGCGGGAGGGAGGGAAGGAGAAAAAAAGAGGGAAGAAGGGAAAGAAAGAAAAGAAAGAAGGAAGGGGAGAGAGAAAGAAAGAGGGAAGGCGAGAGAAAGGAAGAAAGAGGGAGGGAGGTAAGGAGAGAAAGAAAAAGAGGGAAGAAGAGAAAGAAAAGGGGGGAGAAAGAAAGAAAGAAAGAAAGAAAGAAAGAAAGAAAGAAAGAAAGAAAAGAAAGAGGGAGGAAGAGAAAGAAAGGGAGAGAGAAAGAGGGAGGGAAAGAAAGAAAAAGAGGGAAGAAGGGAAAGAAAAGAAACAGGGAAGGGGAGAAAGAAAGGAAGGAAGGAAAGAAGGGAAGGAGACAAAGAAAAAGAGGGAAGAGAAAGAAAGAAAGAAGTAGAGAAAGAGAGAGAGAGAAAGAAAGAAAGAAAGAAAGAAAGAAAGAAAGAAAGAAAGAAAGGAAGGAAGGAAGGAAGGAAGGAAGGAAGGAAGGGAGGGAAGGAGACAAAGAAAAAGGGAAAGAAAGAAAAGAAAGAAGGAAGTAGAGAAAGAGAGAGAGAAAGAAAGAAAGAAGAAAGAAAGAAAGAAAGAGGGGTGACATGATCACAATCTTCCAATATCTCAAGGGCTGCCACATAGAAGAGGGAGTCAAGCTACAGATGGAAAGCAACTTAGAGAGAACCAACCTAGAACCCAGGAAAACCCAAAACTATTCCTCTATGCCCGTATAAATATGGAAAGAACTTTTTATTTTTATTTTTAAATGGCTCTTCCTTACCTATCTTTTCCTCAAGCTGTTCATCTTCTTCCTCCGCTTCGGTCGTGCACCGATAGCCTTTTCTCTTCAGCACATGGCAAATCAAAACCCCCAACAGCCCCATAAGGAAGAATACTGGAATCAGAAAATAAGCGATATATTCGAGGTGTCCTCCTCCTCCTCCTCCTCCATCTTTGGAAGAGCCATTTTCGGATTTATTCGTCGTGTTTCCGAAACTGTGGCTTGCCAAGGCTTTGGGGGTTCCTAGGGAAACAGAAGGTGGAAAGGGTCACCGTGTCTGTCAAATCTAGCCTTGGACAAGGCAACAGGTCAAACATCTAGAGAACTGTTCTTTCTAATAGAAGAACTTCGAGCAAACAAGGTGGGCTCATCCCACTTCTCAGAGCCAGGTGGCTTGGTGTCTTATTCATATTCTCATTCTCTCTCTCTCTCTCTCTCTCTCTCTCTCTCTCCCTCCCTCCCTCCCTCTCTATCTCCCTCTCTATCTTATTCAGACTATTGCAGCATAAATTCAGCACCAAAAAGGTAAACACAGATGGCTGAGGCTTCATTTAACTTCTTTATAAACACATAAAGTAAATTTGACAATACCAGTTGTAGATTTCTCCCAAATGGAACAAACTCAAACAGAAGCAGACGTGTTACAGGTTCAGAGCAGAACAGCAACAGGAGCTCAGAAACAGACATCAGTTTCACTTTAGTTCAGCAGGCAAGCGAGACACACAGCAGAGGAGAGAAGCAGTTTCATTTTCAACAGACAGACTCGGAGCTCAACGTAGCTGCAGAGCTTAACAGAGCCACGCCTAGGCTACTTCTAATTTCAGTTTCCAAATAGTCCTCATTGGTTGACTTAGTTGCTGTGCCTATTCCTTGGTTGGTCTTGTTACTATGCTCTATTCCAGTTCATGAATATACTCTGACATATCCATCTATCTATCTATCTATCTATCTATCTATCTATCTATCTATCTATCTATCTCTTTCTCTCTCTATCTCTATCTCTATCTACATATATCTTATTTATCCAAAAATAAGACTCTGTCTTATATTTTTTTTGCCACTAAAAAAGGCACCAGGTCTTATTTTTGAGGGAAGTCATCCACTGACTAACCTCACTTGTGTGTGTCGTCCCCTGGCCTTCTTTTCATTGACAAAGGCCTTCAGGAACTTCTTCTTCTGTGGCTGGCAAGGCTTTCCTGAAGGCCTCTGCAGCCGATATCAGAGCTCTGGATCAATCCAGAGCTTTGTTATCAGCTACAGAGCCCTTCAGGCCAGCCTTGCCAGCTGTAGAAGAAATGGGCTGGCAAGGCAGGTGTTGGGGTGTGCGAAGCCTGGCTACAACTGTCCAAATGTAGGGTAGCTCCACCCCCACATCCCCACCCTAACTTAATTTTTACCATTGCACTCTGGAGAGGACGGGATCTTAATCAGGGCTTATTTTGGGAGTAGGGCTTTTATTGGCTGCACGTGTAAAAATCAAGCTAGGACTTACTTTCAGGGTAGGTGGTATTTTCAGGGAAATGGTATATATTGACATATTAATTTCATTTTACAGTCTTATATTTGTTTAGATACTTTCATTGTAAAGATCCTTTGGCCACAAATAAAAGTAGTCCTCGACGTACAGCTGCAATGGAGCTCCGAATTCCTGTTGTTAAGTGAGCTTTGCCCCAATTTTATGACCTTGTTTGTCCCCATTGTGCAGCGAATCATTGCCATTGTTCAGTTAGTAATATGGTCATTAAGCAAATCCGGCTTCCCCATGGCTCGCCCAAAGGTCGCAAAAGGGAATTATGTAATCCCGGGACAACGCAACCGTCATAAACATGAATCAGTTGCCAAGCGTTTGAATTTCGATCCCGTGACCTTGGGGATGCCACAGTGGTCATTAAGTGTGAAAAACAGTCATAAGTCAATTTTTTCAATGCCAGTGTAACTTCAAATGGTCACTAAAGGAACTGCTGTAAGTCGAGGAGTGCTTGGGCAACAATCTCCATAGCAGTGGTGGCTAACCTTTTAGAGCTCCTGTGCCAAAAAATTGTGCGCGCGCTTGCACGCTCACTTGCCAGCAACCAGAAGGTAATGCGCGCCCCCCATGCCCGCTACACATGCGTGTGCAATCCTCACCCACCTACCCCGTTACCTGCACTGCACCTCACAGCTAATTTTCAGCCAGTTTGAGGCCAACATAAACAGTGAAGCACCTAAGCATCATACATTTTGGTGCAAAGAAAGATAATAATGTTAATCATATCTAATGTTAATACACATATTTGTATTAAATTACAATCTTTCATTATTTCATCATTCAATATTCCAATACGTTATTCTAATGCCAATCACCATATTATTTAAGTATACATGATAGTTTCATTATTCAATTCCTTCTTTCATTTTTAATTTAAAAAAATAAAAAACACACCTCTCTTTTGGCAAGCGGTGTGGTTCCAGGTTTTTACATTTCAATATAAACATAACCACAGTAACACATTATTCTTTCTTATTCAGTTTCATATCACATTATTACTTATTAATATTAAATTTATTAAACTTATTTTATCCAATTTTAATTCTTATTTCATTTTTCTTGGGATATTCTCATATCTTACTTTACAATATTATCTACAATTCTTATTTCATTTCTATATTAGCTTGGCCAAGCTTGAAGGAAGAGAAATCATATAGAAGTTAATGTAAGTGTGTCTTCAGCCTGCTACCCTAGCAGAAATATTCTGATTTTTGTGAGTCTTGGCTTCAAGGCTAGAGACCTTAAGATTGTCTCCTTTTAATAAGGATGAGGAGAATGTTGTGTAACCAAAGAGTTATTCCACTAAGCCAGAAGTGGGGAATCACGGCCCATTTAATGAATGACCTCTGAACTTCAACTCCCAGAATTCCTGAGCCACTGTTGGTGGCTCAGGGATTCTGGGAGTTCAAGTCCACAAGTCATAAAAGGGCCATTGCTTCCTCACCCCGCTACACCAAAGGTCTTCAAACTTGGCAGCTTTTAAGACTTGTGGACTTCAACTCCCACAATTCCTCCTCCAGTCATGTAAGCTCGGGAATTCTGGGAGTTGAAGTCCACAAGTCTTAAAGTTGCCAAGTTTGAAGACCCTCGCCCTACACTAAACCATTCCATTTCGGCAAAGAATAAATAGCAAAATCCAAGTTTAATTTCCTGTTCAACCTTGAATCAAAAACAGAGAAATCCTTGGAAGGCCTGGATTTCAGGGCCAGGTTGGGGATCAGATCATTTTATTCCCTTTTCCCCAAAAAACTCAAGGTAACTTAGATGGGGGAGATCCCTTCGTTTTATCCCAACCCCTCACCAAAAAACAAAATTAAAAAAAGATACTGAGATCTATACACGTTGGAATGGCCTAAAGTCACCCAGGGAGCCTAATATAACCAATGTACCAAGTGGTGTTTACAAAACAAAAAAGCAAAGTAAAAAGAATCTTTATTAATAACTGAAAATCCAATTAAAAAATAAACCAGCAAGTGGAAGGCACTTACAGGCACCAGTAAAGATGATGTGAGATCACCTCCATAAAAGGAAAAGAAGGGAAGGGAAGGGAAGGGGAGGGAAAGGAAAGAAGAGGGGAGGGGAGAGGAGAGGAGAGGAAAGGAAAGGAAAGGAAGAGGGGAAGGGGAAGAAAAGGAAAGGAAACAGAAGAAAGGGAAGGAAGGGAAGGAAGAGGGGAAGGGGGAAGAAAAAGAAAGGAAACAGAAGGAAGGGAAGGGAAAGAAGAGGGGAAAGGGGAAGGGGGAAGAAAAAGAAAGGAAAGGAAGGGAACAGAACGGAAGGAAAGGAAGGCAAGGCAAGGCAAGGAAGGCAGGGCAGGGCAGGAAAGGAAAGGAAAAGGAAAAAGGAAAAAGGAAAGGAAAAAAAAATATTTCAAACCAAGTTCTCCTCCGTAAGACTTCTGACTAACTCTCAAAAGCCAAAATTTACCCCAAAATATTTAGTTGGAGTCTTTTCAATCATATCCTGTAAGCTGGACTTTCCAGAAATGAGATCTATTTCTGCCGTGCATCAGAACAATTAAAATGCGTTATTTTTCACCTTCTGCTATGAAGTTGGACACATTTCAAACCTGGACAAATCCAGGAAACGCATTTCCTCTAGAAATCCACGAGACTCTGTATGGACATTAGAAACACTAAGCTGTCTTTTGGCTTTTTAGTTTCGAGAAACCGGAATTTTCTTTTTTCCTTGTCATTACCATAAAGGACACAAAGGGTTTTTTTTTTTAAAGAATCAAACAGTTACCTACTTTACAGTATGAATCAGGGCAATTCGCTGATCAGGTTGAAAATCAAAACCCAACGCCTCCTTTCTCTGGACTGATTTGAAGTCACATATAGGTAGTCCTCAACTTACGATCGAAATTGAAATTCCCAACATTTCTCTTGGGAAGCGAAACATTTTGTTAAAGAGAATTTTTCCATATTTTATGACCTTTCTCGCCACTGTGATGTCAACTCACAAAATATTTCTATGGTCTTTTTAGAGTTGCCAACAGAAAGGGAGGGGGGAGCAGTGTGGCAGCTTGCAAACCAAAACTGCATTCCACAAATGTTTTCAAAGATAGTAACTAGGTGACTAGTGAATCACACACATGACTCGGTAGTAGGGCGTCATTTTTAAAAGAATTGGCTTTGCTTTCAAAGGCGAAGGGAAAGTGGCGATAGGAGCGCCTGAAGCCGAGTGTCTCCGCCGGGCTCCAGTTACAGGGAGGAGCCGTAGCTGGCCGCGCATGGTTGCTCTAAACGCCGTGGCAGTACGGGGAGAAGGGAAAGCAACAGTGGCGGAAGGTTTCCTAATACGAAGTGTCCCAACAACGCTGAGGTCAACATCCAAGCCGTCGCCGCCCGTCTGAAGATGCAAGGGGGGGGGAATTAAGTCACCCCTGAAAAGACGGCCTAGCCGTTTTTGGGGGGGGGGTCAAAAAAAATAAGGCCCGGCCTTATTTTGTGAGAAATACGGTAGCTCGATACCCGTGCTTTGCTATGAAACTATGTGGTCAGGCTTAGTTTTGGGGGAGGAAAATAAGGAGGGAAACATTCTGCCTCTGCCTACCAACATCCATCGGTATTCATCTGGCTAGTGTCCTGTCAGTGCGTGAGAGAGTTGAGGAAACTGAAACTGTATTTGCTGTGCGAGCACGGAGACAGCAAGGAGCCTGGGTGTGGCTTAGCTCAATTGTCCTGTACTAAAGCTGCTTGGTGCTGTGAAGACA